AACGGGGCTGCGGGAGACGTGCGCACGTGGTGCTCGCTTTGCGCTGCGGGCCTGGCGGTGGGGCACCTGCGGAGATGAGTGGGGCGGGAGAATGGTGAGGAGCAGGACGTTCGGTTCTTTCCAAACTCTCCACGCGTGACACCAGCTCTTCCATCCCACCAGTGTAGCCAAACGCCAGGCCCCTTGGCCTCTCCACATTTGTGGAACTGGAAATCAGGGGCAGATAAACCCATCAACAAGTATTAGCTCTGGCAGAGCTCTGGTGGCATAGTGGGGTGTGCACTGGGCTGCAACCTCCCAGATTGGCAGTTCAAAACCACTAGCTGCTGTTGGGGGAAAGATGAGGTTTTCTACCCTCTAAAGCAGTGGTTCACAACCTTCCTCATACCGGACCCTTTAATACGGTTCCTCATGTGATGGTGACCCCCACCCCACAACCATAAAATTATGTTCGTTGCTACTTTATAACTGCAATTTTGCTACTGTTATGAATCGGGTGATTCCTGTGAAAGGGTGGTTCGACCCCCAGGTTGAGAACCACTGCTCTAAAGGAAATCCAGTGGCTATTCTACTCTCACCAATGTTAAGGTTGTCATGAGTTAAAATGGATTTGGTGGCAGTGAGTTACATTGCATTAATTTTTTGATACGATAGTTGGGTTTGTTTGCTAAGCAGCATAGAGGAGCTTGGTAGCACTGTGCCTGGTAAATTGCAGAGCCATCGGTTCAAACACTCCCAACGTTTGGTGAGGAAAATGAGACTTACCTCTCTCTTAAAGATTGTCTCAGAACCTATGACGTCACTAGGAGTTAGGATTGATTGGGGTGCTTTTGTTTACCCTGAATAAAATCTGACTTGGTCTTTGGCCAACAGGAGAGGTGCCATTTTGCACACACTGGCCAAAGGGAGATTAAGTGATTTGCTTAAGGCAGAACTATTTAAAGGGATACTAGAATTTAAAAAGAATGCTCTTTTTACAGCAATTATGAACTTTCTCAGGGTTTATATTCCCTCAAGAATAGAATCCCATTTTGTGTGCGTGGTAACATTGAAGCAAAGCCAACATAA